CGGGCGCTGCGCGGCCTCGGGAGCGCCCGAGGCGGCCGCCTAAGGGCGGACCGGCACCGGCACCGGCACCGAGCAGGCGCTCGGACGAAGGTTTGGGCTTGCCCGCCCGCCGACAGCCAGCCAGCGACGTGTCTCGCCTTGGAGCAACGAGGAGGCTGTCGGGGGAGGATGGCTCCAGCGCGGGAGAGGAGCAGGGGGGGTCAAAAGTTTGTTTACACTCCAAGATCATGATACCCCAAACGTGTATTACTTAATCGAAGGCGCCCAGCAACGCTCGTGGTGAAAAATATTCACCCTTAGAATTCAGCAATTCGTGCCGTTCAAGCTGGTGAAGCCTTCCACTGACCGAGGCCTCTCGCTTCTCTTACTTCCGAGGGGACTGTAAGAAAGCCAGGCCAGGAAGGTCTCCGAACTTGAGGAGAAGCTTCAGGAAGTCTCCAGAAAAGCAAAGAGTACACAGGGAAGCTGCTCGTGATGTCTGAATACTTATCCAGAAGGCGGGTGGTAAGGAAGGAGTCATTAGTATTGAAGATGTCAAATATCACGCTTCTAATTATATTAGAAAAGGTAGCACAATGGAAAGTAAATCTGAATGCACGTCCAAGATCATGAGACTCGCTGCTTAATCCGTGACTGCAAACTATTACATCACTTAGCGTCTTACCCTTAGGTGTTGTTTTCTGACATAGTGATTTGCCTCTTACAGGTGGAGTGCAGTTAAGGCTATCTTTGCCAAAATCAGAATTACTCCGTTTACAGTCAAACTTCGCTGGTTTTGTGTCTTTCATTCTTACAATAATCTAGGCTTTTCATCATCTTTCTGTTGGGATTGCTCTGAGTAGTTAAGTACATTTGCATGTCACGGAGGAGAACAAAGTGTCTCTTGTAGAAATGCATATGAAATAGCCACAAGACCCCTCAAGAAACCATACGGAACACAAGCTCATTTGGCATCAGTGAGAACTATCCAAAGACTGTCCTAAAATCAGACCTTGGAAACAATGGAAGTTCACGTTTTAATTCAGATTAGAATTCTGCAATAGAATTAGTGGAGCTGTATCGTATTTCTCTTGTAAAATAATCTTTCCCTTCCTCCCTTAACTTGCAAGACATTTCAAATACCGTCCGTGCTGGGGAATTTGCCTCCAATAACAGAGATGTGGAATATCGCTCGCTGGACTCCACGTACACCATTGTGGAACACCGTTGCGTTGTACTTAAGCAATTTGCTGTATATATCCTTACCTACCGCTGCATACTGTACTGTCCTTAGATGTTTTAATACCAGTTTAATTCCCTATCACATAATTGATTACATACATTTTGCAGTTAAGAAAGGTCACGGATGCTTACGCTCTGTCTGACATTGATAATTATCAAGAAGATTTTAGATACTTAATGGAATTAAAATACAATATTTTATGTACTAGTATTGCCTAAGTGGTTGGAACCAATAATACCAATAGCACGTTAAAAAGGTATGGCATGACCTCCGGTTCACAGGCTATCTCTGATTGTCTTCTTAATGGATATACAAACACAAGAAGACATCCAACCCTTGCTACCAAAACACAAGGAGAGTAACAGAATGTAAACACAAAGCTGCTAATGTACACACTGACACATGAATGACATTTACATTGTTCAGAATAAAATCCAGGATATTCTTGAATAATGAGCAACAGAAAAATTGCTATAGCAAAATAATCTTTAGAATCAAACGCGGACTCATTTGAAATGAGAGGTTTTTCATTAAAAAAATGGTGCAGCTAATAATAAAGTCTTTTAACCTGTATTTTGTTATAGGTGACAGGTGAACAAATCACAGGTCTTGAGTTTCTCTACCCTGCCTCTCTTGGTAACGTCATCTCCAGTACCATCTGCTACCTACCAGACAAACAGACCAACCACATAATGAGGTACCAGCTTCCACCCAGCTACCGTGACTAAATCAGAACAAAAGATTCAACGCCTCCTTCAACAAAGGAACACAAGTCTAAGCTGTCTTTGCTAATTGCTGGGTTTCAGGTTGTCTGTTACAGATTTTAAGTGAGCTACAAACTTCCATCAAATACTTATAGCTGTTGGATAAAGGTACTAAGAATAAAAGATAAATGGAAGCAAAAGGTAAGAGAGAAGAGAAGAAAGCTTAGAAAATAAGTAACTACTTATGGTAATTTAAAGGCTGTGGAATAATATAAACATGAAAGACCAGGGGGCAGAGTGATTGATATCTCATATGTTTTCGATGCCCCTACGGTTATTAGACTGCAATATATGGGAACATACAATAAACTATGAATTAAAATGTAATTGTAGCTTCAGGCATCTTCTTCATTGTCTGCTGTGGTGTTATGTCTTCATGCACCGTGATTGACAAGGTGTAATTAATCATCTTACTCAGTTGTAAATATGGGCACCCTTCACAGTAGGCATCAGGAAGTGTGTACCAGCAAAGGAAGCAATAGTTGACGCTGATATACCATTAAATCAAAATCAGAACGCTTATATGTTCAGAAATGTGTGTTTGGTGTGATGCTGTTATCGTTTATTTCTAAAATACTGTACCAACAGATTTACTTGATTTGCAAGTTAACTACAACATTAACTGGTTTTATTTATTTTGTCTCTTCTTCATTTTTATAGGCAATGATGTTGTTCTCCTAAAATGTGAGACAGTTTGCTTCTTGTCAGCAAGTGGAGCTCAGCTCAGCTCTTCATCTCCCTGAGTTGCTGGAGACAGACTAGCATGCTTCAGATTCAGTTGCTCTATGGACCGACTTGAAACGATTCAGGGAAATTATTACTCCATTCATGTATCACTTTTTGCACTTCTTATATACTGAGTTAAACACTTCGGTTCATTTTAAAGTGAAAGAAAATAATGAAACGATCTTACTAAGACACACTATTCAATTTAAAAATAGGACATTTCTTGTCACAAATGCTGTCCCCTAAGTATAAATGAACATATTTTTAAAGAATTTTTTTCAGTATATGTTTCTTTTTCTAAATGATTGCTATCGTTATCCAGTTAGTGCAAAAATGGTGTATGAGTCACAGGAAATTTAAGTGGTTTGTCTCAGGAAAATTTGGTGGTATGCATTTTTTTGACGCACACAGAGCTGCTGAATGAATAATTGGCAACCTATTTAATGTCCTTTGCTTTAAAGCTGTCTAGTACATTTGCTGTTTAAAAAAATGTCTTTCAAAGCTGTTAAATATGTAACAAAAAGAGGTTGCTATCACCATTCTGACATGAACAAAGCCATACAGTGAGCTGCCTGAGGTACTTCCAGCATGGTATTAATTACAAACACAATAATAAATGAAAATTTGCAAAGTTCTCAAATTCCATTTCTTTGCAATACCAGCTGATGAATGTTTTATAAAAGCATGCAGTAAAACTATCAGTCCAGGAATTAGCTATTAAATACCACCTAAGCCGAGCATTTTGGGGAGAGTATGGAATCTGTTGGATCTATAATTTCACCATTTACCCCTGATTGAGTAAGATCTCTAGCTGTCTCAGAAGCAAACTGAGCTTAAAACAGTAGCGCACTTTCAAGAAGATGATCGACTAAGAATGTGTTTTATTTTGATTTGAAAAACTGTCAATCATAGATAAAAAAGACCAAATAATATTATTATATAATATTAGCTAATTGTATTTGTCTGGTAAACCAGGAATATGCAGGAAAGATAAATAAGACAGTTTAAAAGGAAAATACTCAGAATGTTTTGCCCAGATGTTGTGGTGAAATTGTTTGTCACTGGTACAGGCCATAGATTTCAGATAAAAATACAAGCATGTAGCTATAGATGTGAGAGAGAAATAAGATGCCCGTGATCTTACATATTTCAGTTTATATAGCCACAGCTATTTAAACAATTCCAAAACTGCCTCTACGGGTGTCAAAGAGGGAGGGAAATCTTCGACCACATGATCTTCTCTCCAGAGTCCTGTTAAATCCACTGAACTTAAAACAGAACAAGAAGTGTGAAATATGGGTTTGAACATGTTATGTCAGAAATGTAAAGGTTGGAAGCCTTTTTAGTAACCGATATTAATATTGTATTAAATGTTATGAAAAGGTAGGTGTTGGAGAGAAGGGCTGGGCTCATGTGCAATTTTGTCAAGGTTTTTATCTGTGATTATGATTCCAGATGTATCTATTCCCTGAGGAGAAAAATGAAGTAA